CCCTGCAGCTGCATGAGTCAGGAAAAGCCTACAGCTTGATATTTTATCCAAGAACTTGAGACTTACCAGCTTCTATTGGTGGCATAGTGCCTAAGGCACTGGACTGCTAACCAGAAGGCTGGCAGTTCAAACCCACCAGCCACTCCTTGGAAGGAAGATGGGGCACTCTACTTCTGTAGTGATATTGCCTCAGAAACCCAAGGAGGGTCGCTATGAGTTGGGTCCGATTCAATGGCACATAACAACAACAACAACAACATTAAGTGTGTGAGCCATTTTCCTAAGATAATTCTCTCTCTCTCTCTCTCTCTCTCTCAGCTGGTTTTGCTTCTCTAAAGAACCCAGCCTAACACATTTGATACCAGGAGTGGTACTAGAGAGACAAAACCATAAGGAGGGGCTTCCTAAATTGATTTTCACTTATTCTATTTTGGTTCTCCAAATTGATTAATCAAAAAGGCACTGGTGACTCTGCCTCCATTAGTAAAGAGGGCCCTGTTAATCCATGGCATGAGGTGGCAACATTAATATGCAAAATAGCACTACCAATAGATCAAGTATTTTTGAGAAGTGAGGCTCTGGGTGATTACATGTTTGACACTTTTCTGTAATTTTGTCAGCCTGAGGAGTATAAGGAAGATGGCTGGTTGGTCCTACTTATGCTAGAAAAAGTGGTGAAAGAGCAAGATGAGTTCATGGCTGATGAGTCACAGCTCAAGCGATGCATAAAGGACCTCAATAACTGATATTGCCGAAAACCAAGCCCAGAGTCTTATTGTAAGGGCAGCTGAATTACAATACCAATTGAATTGCCAACCCAGAATGGTGTCTGAAGTTAAAGTGAAGGCATTGATTGGGAAAAAATGGGATCCTGAAACCTGGCATGAGGACATATGGACATACAGTCAGGAAGATGAGGATATGGAACCTGTAAATTCTGTTGAATCCCTCCCATCTGAAGGGATTACTATAAAACCCAAGTGAGCCCCAAAAGGTGAAATACAAAGTGTGACTGAGGAGGTGGTATGCTACACCCAAAACTTGATTTTACTAACATGTACAGACAGAACTGGAGAATATGTATGGGAATGGATACTGAGGGTGTGGGATAATGGTGCAAGAAATGTAACATTGGATCAGTCTGAGTTTATTGATTTAGGCCCACTTAGTACAGATTCTTCATTCAATGTTTCAGCTTGAGAGGTTAGGAAAAGATCTAATTGTTTATTTGGTTGGCTTACTGAAGCATGGATTATGTAGTGGCCTACCTTAAGTCAAGTTGAAGTACCAGACCTGTCTTGATATAATGTAGAAGAAGGTATCCAGAGACTTAGGAAAATTGGCATGTTAAAATGGATTTATCAGATTAGACCCCTAGAACCAGAAATGGAGAGTCCAGAGGATACGCCTTCAATCATTATGGTGAGGAACAAATTTGTGAAGGGAACCCCAGCATCCTTGAAGACTGCTGTGATTGCTGTTTTATGTAAGCCAGGTTTGACAGGGGGAATTGCCCTAACTGAACTAAGACATTTAACTACAATGGGGTTGATTGGACCCCATAGTAGTAGGGGCCAAGTGGCAGCAGTTAATCAACAAAAACAAGGTGGGCATGGTTACCATAATGGACAGCAAAGTCAAAAGAGTAGTCAGAATACTCTGACTCGTGTGGAATTATGGCATTAGCTACTTAGGAATGATGTTCTTAGGAGTGAGATATATGGCAAACCTATTAAATATTTACTTGATCTGTACAGACAGAACAATTCTAGGTCACATGAACAGCAGTCTAGATTGAATCACCAGAATACAGAGTCATGGTCCCTCAATCAATTACAGACTTGAGTCAGTTTACAGAACCACAACCCCTTCAAAGAAGGGGAGGCTGGGTCCTCTTGGGGAAGAAACCCAATACATTGCCAAATATTTATAATGTCAATCTTTCTCCCAGCTTTCCCCAAAGGGATCTGAGGCCTTTTATGAGAGTGACTCTTCATTGGGGAAAAAGAAATAATCAGACTTTCCAGGGATTACTGGACACTGGCTCTGAACTGACACTATTCTAGGAGACCCAAAGCATCATTGTGGTCCACCAGTCGGAGTGGGGCATATGGAGGTCAAGTTATTGATGGAGTCTTAGCTCAGGTTCATCTCACAGCTTCTATTGGTAGCATAGTGCCTGAGGCACTGGACTTCTAACCAGAAGGCTGGCAGTTCAAACCCACCAGCTACTCCTCGCAAGGAAGATGGGGCAATCTACTTCTGTAGTGATATTGCCTTGGAAACCCAAGGAGGGGTCACTATGAGTCAGGTCCGATTTGATGGCACATAACAACAACAACAACAACATTAAGTGTGTGAGCCATTTTCCTAAGATAATTTTATCTTTCTGAGAAGTAGTGATTTCTACTGTATGTGATTTCCCCAGTTTCAGAATGCATAGTTGGAATAGATATACTGAATAAGTGGCAGAATTCCCACATTGGGTCCCTGACATGTGGAGTAAGGGCTATTATAGTAGGAAAAGCCAAGTGGAAGCCATTAGAACTGCCTCTACCTACAAAATAGTAAACCAAAAGCAATACCACATCCCTGGAGGGGTTGCCTAGATGACTCCCCCCATCAAGGACTTGAAGGATGCAGAGGTGGTGGTTCCCACCACATCCCCATTTAATTCACCTATTTGGCCTGTGCAAAAAACAGATGGATCTTGGAGAATGACAGTAGATTATCATAACCTTAATCAGGTCATGACTCCAATTGCAGCTGCTGTTCCTGATGTGATTTCATTGCTTGAGCAAATTAGTACATCTGCCAGTACTTGATAGGCAGCTATTGATCCAGCCAATGGCTTTTTCTCAATACCAGTTTCAAAGGACCATCAGAAACAGTTTGCCTTCAGCTGGCAAGGCCAACAATATACTTTCACAGTGCTTCCTCAGGGGTATATAAACTCCCCAGCACTATGTCATCATTTAGTCCATAGGGATCTTGATCATCTTTTCCTTTCACAAGACATCACACTGGTCTATTATATTGATGACATTATGCTGACTGGACTTAATAAGAAAGAAATATCAGTGACTCTAGACTTCTTGGTGAGACATCTGTGTATTGTTGTTGTTGTTATGTGCCATCGAGTCAGACCTGACTCATAGCAACCCCTCCATGGGTTTCCAAGGCAGTATCACTAAGGAAGTAGATTGCCCAACCTTCCTTCCGAGGAGTGGCTGGTGAGCTTGAACTGCCAGCCTTCTGGTTAGCAGTCAAGTGCCTTAGGCTGTGTGCTAGAGGGTGGGAAATTAACCTGACAAAAATTCAGACACCTTCCACATCAGTGAAATTTTTAGGGGTGCAGTGGTTTGAGGCATATTGAGATATTCCTATTAAAGTGAAGGATAAGTTATTGTATTTGGCTATCCCCGTGACTAAAAAGGAGGCACAATGTCTGGTGGGCCTCTTTGGATTTTGGAGGCAACATATCCCTCATTTGGGTGTGTTGTTTTGGCCTATTTATCAAGTGACTCAGAAAGGTGCTAGTTTTGAATGGGGCCCAGAACAACAGAAGGCTCTGCAACAGGTTCAGGCTGCCGTGCAAGCTGTTCTGCCACTTGGGCCATATGATCTGGCTGATCCAATGGTGCTTGAAGTGCCTGTAGCAGATAGAGATGCTGTTTGGAGTTTTTGGCAGGTTCCAATTGGTGAAGCACAATGCAGACCCTTGGGATTTTGGAGCAAAGCCCTGCCCTCCTCTACAGATAACTATTCCCCTTTTGAGAAACAACTTTTGGCTTGTTACTGGGCTTCAATAGAGACGGAATGCCTAACCATAGGCCACCAAGTCACCATGAGGCCATGAACTGGGTGTTGTCTGACCCACAGAGTCACAAATTTGGATGTGCACAACAGCACTCCACCATTAAATGGAAGTGGTGTATCAGAGATCGGGCTCGAGCAGGACCTGAAGGCACAAGTAAGTTGCATGAGGAAGTGGCCCAAATGCCTATGTTCTCATGTTCTCCACTGCAGTCACATTACCTTCCCTCTCCCAGTCTGCACCTGTGGCCTCATGGGGAGTTCCTTATGATCAGTTGACTGAGGAAGAGAAAACTCGTGCCT